GTTACTACAAGCACCATGACCAGTTCGGCGGGGTTTACGCCTGATCCACGTGTGACGTAACGTGACGTGGCATGTATTTGATGACGCGTTTTGCCCATTGGCTTGCTGCAGGAAGTACTCGTCTTACACCATTTTAAATTTGTAATAGTCTTAAAGACACAGCACACCTACATATGGAGTTTAACCTCTTTGTCGGCAAAGTAACCACACATATGGCTGAATCATGGGTATTATTAGCTAGCCCGGAACATGAGATCAATTCTGTGTAAAGCTGTATGCTGGCAACAGAAAGCCAATAATGGCAAGGACCCTCCCCCTTATGCTGTCCAAGTATGAGGATCGTGCCACCAGGAGAACTTGGACATAGCACAGGAACAGAAATATGTTTTAGCATACTACTTTTTTTTTTTCCATTTTTCTTTGGGGGGTGGGGGCAGTATAGGAAGGGTTATTGATCACCTTCTATATATATGGTAATGATTGCATATTAGCATTTTCTGTCCTATATTTCCTGTTTTTGTGTTGGCCACACACCCTATACTAAATGCCATGTTTTCTTAAATGCACTAAAGCAAAGTTAGCTTAATGAGGCGGTTTTGGTGTATAGATCATGTCCCTGTAGTCTCACTTCACAATCCTCTGCCATTTAGGAGTTAAAACACTTTGTTTATATAGCCCTAGTCACACCTCCCTGCACGTGACTTACACAGCCTTCCTGAAGACTGTAAAGATTAGTTTAATGTTTACACTTCTCTTATTATAAACTCTGTTTAATTTATCATTTCCTATCTCCTCCGCTGTTAATAGCCTTTTATAGCGTCTAGGTACCTCCTGTATGTAATTAAGTTAAGTTAAGTAAGTTAAGATTTGATTGAAATGTAAACAAGTTTTTTCACAAGTTCTGTGTAAGTCACAGACAGGGAGGTGTGGCTACAGCTGCACAAACAGGAACACAAAGTTATTTAACTCCTAAATGGCACAGAATTGAGTAGTGAGACTGCAAGGGCATGATCTATGCACAAAAACTGCTTCATTCAGCTAAATTTATTTGGATGCCTATCGTGTCCCTTTAAAACATTGTTTTGGAGTAACCCTTTCACTTAATATTTTACTCATATGCTCACATCAATTTCGCCATTTGTACTCAACATTTTTGTTAATCAGTTACTATAAGCTATATTTGTTACCCTCTCTACTACAGTCTGACAAATGCCCTCACCTCATTTTGTTATTTATATCTAACTGTATCTAATTTTAGAGTACGTTCTTCCCTAATTATGAAATTCTGAAAAGGACCAGATGTGACTAATTCAATGTTATGTCTGGGATGTGCCAAACTAAATAGTGCCTTGCCAGCTCTTTATTTATCTCTACCACATAAAAATTACTAAATATAGGTATTGTCTACATAACATAATGTTCGGCTCAGGGATACACCTTGCTCAACAGCATACTAATGAAAGGCGGTAGGTTTTGACAAACAGGGGAAGGTTTCACATAGCACACTCTCCTTGCACTGTCACTAGATGTAGCGCAACCAAATGGACTACAGCACTGGAGGAGGCTCTGCACATTCCACTGTGTAGCCTGTATTTGGAGACTGGTTATACGTGAGGAGAGGCCTAAGAAATTACTTTTCTCCTTACCTCTGGCTCTTTCGCCTCTCACAATAAGTCTTTCTCATCAAACTATGCAGAGCAACATACCGAGCCGCATGCACTTAGTAGGAGGAGCACATGACAAGGGGGATGGGTACAAAAATGGAATACAAAGGGTAAAAATTGGCGTTTATGAAGCACATTAAGTGGTGGTAAGAGACACATTAGGTGTAAAGGGGTTTGGAGAGATAGACACACCAGAGTAAAAAGAAAAAGGAAAAAACACAAGGGGATGAGGGAGTGCTGAGACACACAAGGGGTAAGGAGGTTAGGAGAAAAACACAATGAGGTAAGAGGGGTTACTAGCTTTCCATTACATTGTTTATTTGCATGCCATCTATATATGTTTTTGTTGATACATGCAGGTTTGAATGTTTTAACAGGTGTACTTAGCATGTTACATTACAACAAAGGGTGGATACTTCTTACAATCTAACACCTGAACATACTTCTATTTAATAATCTATAGGGTTCCCTGCTCCGTGTTATTAACTCACACCTCACAGAAGAGACACTGTATGGTAGAAATGGAGCCAGACTTAGTAGATCCCACACTGAGCTTATGGTGTAGAAGAGAGTAAGGCAGTTATGTACCTATGAAACATGTACGTACATATGTACGTACATACGTACGTACATACGTACGTACTAGGCATGTGCATGGGGAAAATTTTCGGTTCGGTTCGGCATTCCAAAATTCGGGATTTCTGCAGTTCGGGACTTCGGCACTTCGGAAATTTGGCAACTTCGGCACTTCGGAATTTCGGCACTTTGGGACTTCTATTGCAGCCGCTTAGTAGATAACTCCCTAATTTCCACGGTATTAGGGAGTTAACTACCAAAAGGCTGAAAGACCTAAATTGGCCAAATAAAAAACCATAATAACCGACGCAATTAAAAAAAACAAAAAACGATTGCTTCCGTTACTTTTTTTTACAGACGCGGCTGCCACCTCAGGCTTTGTGGCTACTTTTTGTGATAATTGGCTATGGGGGGTTTGGCCTATTTAAGTGCACAATGTACCAGGTTTTTCTACCACTTCTGCCATGTTCGAGCTCTATCCTATTGTAGCTGCTGCAGTGGCGTGGGGAGCAGAATAGTCAGGTCAGGTGGTGAGATGTTATTCAGACAACTTAACCACCTGCCATATAATTAACAAGGATCATTCTAAATCTCTGATCATGAGCTTTTTTGAGGAAATTGACTGGCTGCTAACTATAATTTCTTTTTGGTATGTGTCCATATTCCTGGCATTCAGAACATAGCAGCTGATCATTTATCTCGCTCTCAATTTCAGGAAATCCACAAAGCTTTATCTACGGCAGCCTTGGTGGCTACCCCGGCGCTGTAATGGCAGGACATGACATTGGATTCAGAGATCTGTTAACTCATGGCAGGCTCCTTTCGCAATCGGCTTTGTCTGACAATACTAGAAAATAATACGACAGGGCATTCCGTGTTTATAACGGATTTTTGTTTGACGTTCAGGTTGTAAATAAATATTAAATGGAAACTATTATAGGTTTCACTTCTTTTTTGCCACCTTAAATTAAAATTATCTTACAACACCATCAAATTATATCTGACAGAGATACAACACCATATACTTACACATTGGCCAAATAACCACAGTTACTTGTCATCTTATCAAATCAAAACCATACTAACAGGCATTAAGAATTAGAACCCTACACTACCATTTTCAAGATCACCTATGCATAGTCAACTCTTCCAATCATTATTGGACCTCATAGATACAATCCCTTTCAAATCAAACACTAATCATGTCATTAAAACCGCTATCTACTTAGCTTTCTATGGGTTCCTTAGACCAAGAGAGTTTACCACTACAAACATGAAAACCCAATACGTCATTAAAAGATCCCAGATTGTTAAAATACAAGACCACTACATACTATCCCTTAACCACACTAAAACCACACCAAAAAATTAACTGGTAAAGATTCCATATTACCCTACCGGCAACAAATGGTGCCCGGTACAGGTAATAGATAAATTCCTAACCTTTGTTCCCGGTTCCTCTGACAAACCTTTGTTTAACTTAGCAATGCTCTCACCACTAGTAAATTCATGCAATATATTAGAGTATTACTGGCAAAGTTAGGCCTTAATCCATCCTACTACTCAGGACACTCCTTCCGCATTGGAGCAGACACCACTACTTCCAGTAGAAGCATACCGGTACATATTATCAAGACACTGGGACGGTGGAATTCATCTGCATATACCAGATACATACCCCAACCAATACAGGAAATACGCAAAGCTTTTTATAACATGAACATGTGATATATGCTATATGATTGTCAAATTGTAGGCTGAAATAAATCTTGTATGGCATACTCTTTTTTGCCCCCTTTTATTACAGGCCTACCGCATCGTCGATTTCGGCACACCACACCCAACTGTTCATATTTTCTATTTGGTTATATGGTATAAATTATATACTGTCATTACGGCTTCAATGCCCTGAACACAAATATGTCTCTATCTATCTATCTAGGAGCAGAGGCTTGAACTCAATCATTCACATCTTATTAATTGCCTGGGTGTGAACAATAAAAAACAATTTTCAAAGAAGACAGGGCTTATAGTCAGCTTAATCCACTGTCTTTATTCAGACAAGATAGGATAACATTAGAATTCAAAGCCAATGTTTCAGTCTATCAGGTGCAACTTTTGATCAAGGTTATGCTTAAAGTAAGGTGCATTAGGGATTTGGAATTATAATGTATCAACAAGTCAAAATAACAAGTGAGCAGTTTGGCCCAGTCATTGCACTTGCCCTGGATATGATGTTTATTTTCATTTTCATTTTCTTACGTAGCGATTGTAGCCGTACTAGTCCAGTGATGCAGATGTAAAAAACAGATAAAATGTGTATCTTGTAATACCTTTTTTATTGGACTAACAGAATTTTTTTTTTTTTTTAAATTCTTTATTTTATTTGTGCATACATAATTCACAACTGGCTTACAATGCCACAACAGCTAGAGTAAGCATTTTTCAACATAGCTTGACAGTAGTTAGGCATTAGTGGATACTGCACAATTTTATATATAATAACATTGCTTATCTAAGTGTTGTTCTGTGTTGCTGCATATAGAAGGTAAAGTACAAGATTAAACATAGCAGAGAAATATAAGTTTAGTGCTATAGAGTGAGGTGTTCCTATTGCAGGTTATGCTAGGTGTACTGGTAGTTGCTTAAGAGAATCTACATGTAGATTATTAAGCTATTTATAGCGATTATTCATAGCAGAGTTTACACCGTGAGAGAACAGTATGATTAGTTATTAGAGAGACTAACAATAAACGTGTACTATTTGTATGGCTGATAACATATCATCGCTTGAGTAATAATGTCGTTAGACACGCCAATGATATGTGGGAAGATGAGACGTCCCAACAGTAAGGTGAGGAACTGCAAGATGTGCTTTAAACATAAAAAGGGTCTAGCATCTTTTTGCAAATGTCCGCCAGGTTGAGTGGGTTCTGCAGGGTCTTCTTTATCGGCGTCATCACCGGAGCTAGCCGCCGGCAGTCCGGGTCTTTTCATCTGCTCATCCGATGCCCAGTCTATGCAGAAGTGTAAGTTCGCGTTGCCGTGGGGTTGTTTGCTGCATGGTGGTGCTTTTCGGCATGTTGTGAGGTTGTGCCTCGCGTGGATGCGAGGGAGTGCTGGTGCCCGAGGGATATGTCGCCTTTTCCCGCCATCTCGTTTTGCGGTACGTGATGTGTCGGCCTTTGGTTGTTGGGGCCACTGGATGAGGAGTAGATTGGGCCTTGTTCTTTGGCTTGTGCACGTGAGTTTCGGCTCTCGTGGGACCCGGCACTGTCACTCGCCCCTCCGAGCTTCGGCTCTGATGCTGTCTGGAGGCCGCTCCGGCTCTGCGAGGGGGGTTCCATTGTAGGATGCGTCGGGTGGTCGGGCGTATCCACGCTGCCACCTCCCTCATCGCCAGCTTGTAGGGTTGTCTTCGGGCTTTAAGTTGTGCCCAGAAATAGGTGCGTAGCCGGTCAATGAAAACCCCTGTGTGCTTGGGTGGCTTGATACATATGTGCTGGGTCCCAGCCCTCATCCGCGCCGCCATCTTGGTTGGGCCTATGGGGTCCCGTTTGATTGAAGATTTTGTCGCTTGATCGGGTGTACATGTGGGGGTAATCGTCCCCAGCGAGGACCGGGATGTCCCCCACCGGTCCAGAGGGGGGGGTAGCAGAGCTGTAATGGGCTTAGGAGCATGTCCTGTGCCAGGAGATCGGCCGCCTCCCCCGGTCCTCAGGTTTCGCTCTAGTATAGGCCGCATGGTCAGTTTCAGTTTTTCCGCAGCGCACTGGTGCCGGACAGAACTCATTTTGTTCCTGATGCCGTTGTGCGTCTTGTACCGGTCCCTGTTTGCCGCTTATGCTGGTATATCGGTCGGTATCTTTACTCTTTAGTCCATTGCTGCAGGAGCTCATATAATGTGCAACCGGCCATGTTAGCTGTCAGGCCCCGCCCCCCGACTAACAGAATTTTTAATGACAAGCTTTCGGGAGAACCTCCCTTTCTCAAGTCTAAAGCATTTCTGAGCAGGATTACACATAGAATTCAAAGTTGAGTTGTGATACAGGGCTTAAATTGTCTTGAGTGCAGATAAGACACAGGTTTGTTAGAAAATAGACAACATTCTTGCAGAGGGTCGTAAATATCTTGTGTGAAGATCACAGAGTGAGGGGGGGAGAGAGAGAGAGAGAAAAAACAAGCAAACAGTGCAGAAAATGGTACTAGAAGAGGAGAGTAAAAACTAATTAATTACTTATATTAAGAATGCATGAATTCCCATCCAAGATTTACAGAATATGCATGAAAGCCTATATCCAGCATACACAGACACACGCACATACTCACACTCACACACATGTACATATACATATACGCAAGTAGTGTATATGTACAAGTATACACAAGTACATACACAATATACATATAAGTACAACTGCTCAAATATATGTACATGCACACCTACACATACATCCACACACAAGCACCAATACATGTACCTACACATATACTAACGTGCCTACACATACATAGACCCATATATATGTATATGAATACATACACCTATTCACATATAAATAAATGCATGCATGTATATACGCACTTTATACATACACACACACAAATATATATATGGAGACGCATACACATAAACAAATGAACACATACACATCTAAATCAGATCTTCTCCAAATTATATGTAAAGAAAAATAATGTCCACAAATGCACAAAGTATCTCAACCCAGATTTAATCTTGGTTTAAATGTTCCTAATCTATAACTATAACCTTAGCAGCATACTATCGCCACGCTTTAGATTGGTTAAAATAATCTGGACAATTCACAGTAGTACACATAAAAACAGAACTCGGTCCTAGCGTAACACTTTGGTGAGACAACTCCTAAAGCTTCAGTGGCAGTACACCAGACTTATCCCATTCTTACATAACCCGTATTTCCAGTAACAATGGAAAACTCAAGCCATGTTCAAATATTACAAAAATGTATTCAGTGTCCATTTGACTATAAACTACGCTTCCCATAGTCCATTTGACTATGAACTACACTTCCCATAAGACACCTTGCCCATTTTGAGTGTCCGATCAGAATCAGACTGATATTCCTATTAAGAAAGAAGATGTCCTTACTACAGATGGCAAAAGAGGCCTCACAGGAAGTGACGAGAGGAGAGACACCACCTCGCCACAGACACTGCCATTATACTGACTTGTCACTTCCGCCCTTGATTATATGCGATTTATGGAGAACAGCTGATTATACACACACCTCCGATTGCCAGCAATACTATTGGTTGCCAAGTGAGTTCGGCGACCAATCATGATAAGATTGTGGATATGAATATCAAGACCCAACAGGAAGCAAGTATTCCAATCGATAAAGCCTTCAGGAAAAACGCATCTTGGACAAGCTAAGGAATTTAGATGTTTTTATTGTTTTTTATTATTTCATATACAATAAAGGAAATTATACTGTGATTTAAGTCCAGTGGATCCTTGCTGCTTCCTGCTCCTGCTATAAGAAGAGCAGTGCTCCCTTAAAGTCACAGACACCTATATACTGTGAGCCTAGTATAACTGGCTCTTACGAAGGTGAGCAGTGACTTGCATTGGCACTTGGAATATTCACACTGTCCTGATGATATTACACTAGTTTTTTGTTTCTTCTTTTGTCTCCCTTGTTTGAGAACATCTGAGTCAAGATTTGGAAGAGGTTGTGGTTTGCCTTATATAGCCCTGCGAATGAGACTTGAGCCTATCCTTATAGGGCTCTATACTAGGTGAGTGTGGTCCATATGTATGCACATGTTATTTTATTTATACTGACATACTGCACTATTTTTTTCCACTTTTTTATCTTTTGGAGCCCCTAGTCCTTATTTACCTCCTCTCTATATAGAAGGGTAAGTGTTAATTTGGTTAGATCCATTTTTTAGCACTCCACTGGTTCTACTCTTGGTGGTTTACTCCACTGGGTTCATTTTATGTTCCAATATTAACTCCCCCACACACACACTCTATCGTTACTTCTCACAAATATCTCCTTCCTATTCCATAAGGACTGGGTAGAAACATTGTTTTAAAAAAAGCCCCCTAACAAAAAAAAATCTCCCTGGCAACTGTATAATGACTCACTAGATAGAGTTACTCAATCCAAAATGAAATCCACTATTACATTTACAAACTGGTACCTGACCAGAGTTGTAGCGGTCTCACCTCCGATAGCTCCATAAATACAAGTTTCCCAATACGATCATCCGCATGAAGGACATCCTCCAGAACCCCTTTGACATACGACCACTGCACGAACTATTCCCAGATAGACCTCTTACCTTCATACACACACTCCAGAGAGCGCAAATGACACAATACGCCCGATCCATCCCTCAGAAACCATCCCTCCTGAGGGACCCAACATCGTTTGAACACCTCTGTATGCAAGACAAGGAACCGCCACGGGCCATATCACAGATCTACTCGACCCTAATCACGAGCAGATACCTATTGGCACCCCCATGCGTCAGACAGTGGGAGGAAGACCTAGACGAACCCATGACAGAGGCAGAATGGGACACACTCATCACCTTAATACAGAAAACACCGGCCTCAGCACGCCTACAGGAGAATTCCTACAAAATCTTCACCAGGTGGTACCTGACGCCATCAAGGCTCCATGCAAGAAACCCAGAGATAACTGACACCTGCTGGAGATGTGAGGAAGCAGTGGGTACGTTCACACACATCTGGTGGGCGTGCCCCAAGATCCGTCCATATTGGGAGACGATCAGGCAAACTATACACGAAGTAACAGATGAATTATTGCCAGAGACCCCGGCGCCTTCCTCCTACACAAAACTACAATGCCAACACAGGCATACATCAGATCCATCATCCCCAGACTACTAAACGCGGCCAAGGCGACCATCCCCATCTATTGGAAGCAGTCCACTGCACCCCCACTGAGACGCTGGGTAGAAGAAGTGGAAGCGACGCGAAAATTCGAAGACATGAAAGCCGTCACCACGCAACAAAGGGACCGCTACTCACAACGCTGGTTCTACTGGCTACGCCACACCGCGTCTGACCCCTTCCAAAGTCACCTAGCAGCAAACACCCCCGAGAGGAACGAGCGAGAGGAGGCGGGCCCGAGCGGGGAGCCGAGAAGCCCGGGGGCTGAGCGGAACGGGGCGGCGACAGGGGACTAGATAACAGACCACCAACCCACAACCCCCTCGCTCACTCACTTAGGACACGACCACACACACTAACACTCAAGACATCGACCTTAGGCACAAGAGAGGGTCACATTACCGGACTCAGGAAACAGAGACACATAATATTACACCAACCACCGGCTAAGGCGACACCCGCATGATACACCAGCCGCACACAACACAAACACCAGGGAATATATAGAGGAACTACAGCGAACAAGCACGGATAGAACAGGATGAAACAGCGTAACACAAATGCCCCCACACTACCGACAAGAACACAGGAAACACGGGCCGCAATAACAAACCCACTCGAAAGCTGTGCTGCCCATGAGACCGCAACAGATCTGGCACAACACACGACAACAAGCAGGAAAATAGGACGAGACAGCAGGGGCCACAAATGAGACGTGTGGGAAAGACATCGACTAAGTGACAGCAATCCAGTAGCCCGAGACGCAATAAGCACCCACAACACATACCAGCTCAATACCTCAACACACACAGCCCTAGGAACGGGTTGAGCGCACGCGGCGCAGGCAAACTCCACTATAGATGCGATAAAAAAGCGCTGCAACATGTGACAAGTCCTAAAACAATCAGAATACGCACCACACTCATCAAACAACACACACACCAGCCAGACCATACACAGCACGCACACTATGATAGCTAATAATTATATTACATTATATAGTTAAAAGTAAAATACTCGAACCGCCTCTGCGCAGGCACCTAAACGACACATCTGCTGCAATGTGAAACGAGCCTCTGCGCAGGCAACGAAACGCTATGATAGATACACAGTGACACAAGCCTCTGCGCAGGCAACTAAACGTTATGTTAGATGCAATGAAAAAACGCCTCTGCGCAGGCAACTGATTGTTCCGATCACCGCAACGAGAAACACGCCTCTGCGCAGGCAACCGACTGTAATGTTTAAATACAATCGTAAACCACGCTTATGACAT